GATATAATGAACATGTATTCACTCCATGTATAAGCTATTCTAAACTCTGATTATAACATTGTAATTATATCTTAAAACAGTTTATTTCGAGTTTTATTCAACATTTAGTTTAGTTTGTCAAACTAGTAAACATTTTTAAATAATTGTTAATATTTTTCTACAATTCTTATAGTCGTTGAAAAGTGGGGACACTATTGAAGTATAATTTGTATGGTTTTCAATGTGAAGTATTTTATATATTAAGGGATTATAACGAAGTGGGGATTATAATAAAGACAGAAATGTTGATAATAACGATACTATTTTAACATTATATTAATGGCAACTGACTTATGATTTCAAAATATGGGGATTGTAATGAATTGTGGACACTATTGAGTGCATATTATATTTAAAATGGACTGTATTTTTAAACTAAATAAATCTAATTATTTATCACTATTATCTTATAGTTTAGTAAAAGAGTAGTATAGTTTAATATATTTATGTTTAATAAGTTAATTATGATATATATATAATTATGATTATAGTTACCATCAATGTTAATTAGAATTTCTATAATTATGTATAGTCAGAATTTTAATTTTATTTAAATCATTATATATTGCAAAACTATTACAATAAAATAAAACCATTTTTTATGTAAATATGTAAACAAATATGCATCTTATTAATGCATAGTATGCATTGTATACTACTACAATAATAATAGTTACCATGACAAATGAATTTTCGGACATTCCAAATCATGCCAAAGTTGTGGGTATTCGTATTTAATCCATAAGTTAGTTAAAGAGTTGCAATGGAAGTTGTCGTCTAGTATTGTATTCTTTGGGTTTTCTGCCAAAAACGCATCAAAAACCTGTTGAAGATAACCCATTGTTGACCGTTCACTAAACTTTAATGTAGTGGCGCAACCGATCAATTCGAATGCGTGGTCACTAAACGCAAGGTAATCGCTTATATAATCGAAAACTATCTCTAAACTATGGTCAGATGTGTTTCGATCGATTGTAAACGCGTGGTCATATATACGTATTACGTCGCTATATTCAAACTGCAAAAGTACCATGGCTGGTAAATTGTCGAACGCGTTTCTATTTATAATATATATTGGATTATCTACAATATATATAGATTGTAAATTTATTAAGTTCGATATAGCCTGTGTATACATGTAATGCACGCCCGTTTTGATCAGGTACAGTACTTTTAACGCTTTCAATGTGTTAATCGCCCCAAACATGTTTGAGTCAGTTGTAACCATCTCTGTGATTGGGGTATTATTGATGGTAAGCGTGGTAATAAGTTCGGCTGTGCCATCAAATGCGGCAATATTTATACTATGTAATTTACTTGCATTATGTATGTTAATTTGGTTGAATTGTACACCACCTAAGGCGTTGGCCGGCAATGCCTCTAAGGCTGTGTTTGATATAGTTAATTGTCCAAAAGGTTTCTTATCAATGGGTAGCCTATGGTTTAAGTCACCGAATATGGCTTTTATATCAAAACTCTCGCTGCCGGTGCATTCAATATCGCAATATGGTACATTTAAACTGTACTTGCATGGTGATTTAATTGGGATATCATCGGGGCACACGCCACGTTGGCCAACGGTGTTGTTAATTATAATAATCACAACCAATAGAAATACTGAAATGATAATAAATTAAGTATTATATAAGTAATTTGTATGTACGTTAATATTTATACTTTTAGTGTTCATAATTAAGAATGGTTACTTATACAATAAAATACAATTGTCATGTACATAACCTCTAAATCTCATTGTATTTTTCCGAAGTGCTATTTCACTCACTTTTGTAACCTTTTAGCCTTCGTATCTCTGACCCGTAATCCTCTGTACCCCTTAACGACAGCCCTAACCAATCAAATCACTGGTACTTTTCCACAGTACCCACACTCTGTATCCCTTTATAACACATACGCACAACTCTTTGTACTCCAGTCTCAATCTCTCTCTCACACACACGACATGAACTCCTAAACACTTAATAAAAAGCGTTCAATTCACGCACACATCGTCTCATTCATTTCGCCATTACTCCTCATCTCATCACACATTCTTTGTTCCGCTGAAGACTAGTGGACACTATCGGTTCGTAGAAGTCCTCCGCAGCACTTTTCCCATAGCTGTCCCCGCGCCGCAACTGCGCGAATACTAGTCCTTCTCAGCGTCCATAACACAATAATGTTATAACATTAAGCTTGTAATGTCGTCCACTTTATATTACTTGTTGAATGACTATGGCTTAACATTTGATCTATTGTTCAAGCATTGAATTATTAAATAAAGATATCGCTATTAGCATTATTTGTTGAATTATATAGTATTATTAAATATATAAATCAATATTATATTATTAATTGGAGACCTAAAATTGTTGTTATTGACAATGTGACATTTAAAAAATAATCAAACTGTTATGATATCGACTGTTCAATTGTTTAAATCAATGCCTTTCCATATCTCATATTTAATATTTTAAAATAAAGAAAATCCTTTATTTGACATTATTTATCTTTGACATTTAAGTTGTATAAATTATATGATATAACAAATTAATATTATTTTTATTAATTAATATATTAATAATTACTAATTTGTAATAAATTTACAATAATTAAATAGATTGTTTTTAAATAATTGATTAAATAAATTTAAAGTTGAATGAAAATTATACATTTCATTATTCTTTTACATATTATATAATGATTTTTAAAAATAATAAAAATATCATATGATCTTACATTTGTATTTAGTTATTTTATTTAATAAAAATAACATTATTTGAATTTATAAGTTTACTTTTAACTACAATACACGGTTTTAACAATAAATTGACCATAATAGAATTTCTAATGATATAAAAAACTTGTAAAATATCATTTTTAGCATTTATTTTTTACAAATAATTCTTTCACTGATTCCGTAAACGCAATAATAGAGAATCCAAACCATAGACTAATAACACTCGCCGTTAGACTAATGTATTCTTCGGCAAACATTTTCAATGATATCTCGTATACAGTCGTCGGCTATGCTGGCAACTCTACTTCAATTATATGGCCGTTAAACGCGCCAACACTTTCCACGTGCTTAGTTATTGTGTAATATGTTTTAATGCATTCACACATTTTATCGCACCTGGTTTAACATTCACTGGTATCGACCCTGTAATATATATTAACAAAATAGACCATGCTTGAATTAATATTGTATGTATTTTTCTCATAAAATAACATATTTCTCGGATATATTGATTGATTTTTAATAGCATATAGTGTTTGTTCGCATCGATATATACACTCATCTCTAGTAGTGATGCCATCTTTGCCGAAACATGCCTGCAATCCATGATTTTTGTCATTTACCAGAGTTTGTCTGAATTTGACCCTGGTCACTGAATTGTTTGACATCCAGACATCCATCGAAAGCCAATTTTTTCGCGCTGAGGGTGAGGGTAGAGTGACCAGGTGTACACTATTGGGCAACATTGTACACTATTTTAGCTCATTGTACACTATAATTATTTTGTACACTATTGTACACTATTTGTAGTTATCTTTAGTTGCTTGTTGTATTGAAATAAATAATTTCCACGTGTTTTCAAAACTGCATTTTTATGACAACCAAAACCTGTTCCCAGATATCAATCATAAGATCTCATCAAAACTCATACAATGTTTGGATTAATGATTGTAAATCGTATTCCGCGCGCAGTTTAGAGCCAATCAGACAGAGTGTCAACTGATGCAATAGCCAATCAGTATAAATTTTCCAAGGCCCTACAATAATTTATGGCAAACATACAGATAATTCAAACAGTTAACAACAATTTGTAAATAATAATAATAAAGAATATAAAACAGTTTAGATAGAAACTTTTGGATAAATTGTACATAATGTATATGATAAAAGTTAGATAGATTTAGATTACATGATTATTACTTTATGATTTTTATTGTTTTTGCCATAAATTCCAACAATAAACAAAACACACATGTTTAATCAATGTAAATTAACAATTTTATTATTTCAATAGTATTTGTAAAACATATCGTTATATACAAAAAAACATTATCCACTTATCTAGATAAATTAACAATTGTAATGATAATAATTTATATATAAATTACAAAATATAAATTAAATCGGATTTATGAGTCGGCCGACGATCGGCGGACAGTCCGGTGCGGCAATCGTCGAACACATACGCCGACAGCGATCGCTGGAAAAGACTGAACGGCAACTCAAACACCTCCGACACGGCGGCCATCACTAGACAATTGGCCGCAACGGCCGACAGTAAGAGCACCGGCGCGGGAACCGTACGGCACAGACCCACAGGTAAGGCATCGAATAAATGCTGTGCGAAATAGTCGTGCAATAAATATGAGGTCAACTGTACTGAGCGTATGGGTCGCCAATAGCTGAATAGGGAACGGTTGCATAGATTAGTGTTATGGCTGTCGGTGTATATAATGGCCGACAAACATATGACACAAATATAGTCATTTTAACAGCGGTTTATTACTATTAATGCAAGTAATTTTTGGAGTATTTTACAGGTACATAATAACGATTAATATTATAGAGTTTGTAAACGATTATCACATAACAGATCCACAGATGTTGTGGTCGAAGAGGTTTCCACTCATGGAAGACATGAAACACCGCTTCTCTCGAAGACTACACCAGAAGTGACACCACTTTTGAGCACATCTGACTTGAGTTCGCCCGAAGACTGCGATAATTAGTTTTATTATTAATAGTTTCAATTATAAATTTATTTATGTATTTATTTATCTCAAGTAAACACATCATTAATCAGAATAATCAGTAAAATTCTTGGTTAATAATTTCACTTTTTCACTATTTTGGTAATTTTTAAAAATTAATTAATTCAATTAGAAGTTACTTATAATGTTACATAGTATTAAAACAATAATAGTTGGTAATTCAAAATATGTAATTAAATGTGTTTATGCTTAACGTGTTGTTTCAATTCACTTGATGTAACAAAGCGTTGATTACAGTTATTATGAATACATTTATGGCTTTTTATATTCAGATGTCGTTTCATGTGTTCATTTAATTGACTTTTAGAGTAAAAAGTTTTGTTACAATCGTTGAAATGACAAACAAATGGTTTTTCTCCCGAATGTATGCGTTTGTGTTGAATTAAATGTTGATTACGAGCGAAACTTTTGCCACAATTTTCTTCACTGCATTCAAATAACTTTTCATTCAAATGAACACAACTTTTGTGTCGAATTAGAGCTAGGGTTGCCAACTCTGATCCACTACAGCCTTGAAAAATACAAAATTTAACTAAATTCACCTTGACCAAACCTTGACCACTATTATTATTGCATTTTTGATTATAAATATTTTTGAAATGTGAGCAAAATATTAATTTAAGCTTTCATTTTATTATAATACAGTGTATTTTTCATATAAGATAAAGGCTTTTTGAAGACAAAAGACTTTCTTATGAAGGTTTTTTTAATAAAGGATTTGTTTTGTTATTATACAAATAGGCAATAAATATTATTCTGGGTTTTAAATAGTGTGTTCATTACAATAAACATTTAAAATAGAAATACGGTAATTACATTTGCTCTCACCTTGACCTGTCTATGTCAAGGTGAGACCCTCGCCTTTCACCTTGACCAGAATCCTCTCACCTTGCAAATCAAGGCAAACCTTGACCATTTGGCAACCCTAATTAGAGCACATTTTTGTGAAAAACTTTTGTTACAATCATTGAAATGACAAACAAATGCTTTTTCTCCCGAATGTATGCTTTTGTGTGAAATTAAATTTTGTTTTGTTGTGAATTTTTTTCCACAATTTTTTTCATTACATATGAATTTCCGTTCATTCAAATGAACACAACTTTTGTGTATAAATAAACTATTTTTTGATTTAAAACTTTTGTGGCATTCATTGAAATCACAAATAAATTTCACATTTAAATGAATGATATTTTTATGTCGAATTAAATTACAATATTGTGCGAATACTTTATGACAATTATTAAAATCACATTTAAATTGTTTTATGACTGAAAGAATGAATTGATGGTTTCTTAATTCACATTTCGTTGATGTCTTGTATTGACATTTAGGCCAAAAGCAGTGCAAATAATCATCAGATTTAGTGATGATATGACAATTGTTTAGCATTTTATCACTGATTTTACATGAATTGC